GATAGTCCCTTTGGCTTGTGAAGGATAACTAATAGGAAGATTAGTGGAATTATGATTTACGTTTGAGAAGCCACCATCATACTGGTGGTCACTGGTCACTCAGTCAAACCACCTTCTTCTGACTTTAGCAGTCATCAAAGCAGACCATCTGCCTGTTCCACTCACCCACATTGAAGTCCACTTCAATCACTGCTGTTTCCCTACTGGGAATGCTCTTTACCACTTCATCCAAATTACTCCAGAATTCCTCTCTCTTCTAATTGACAACTACTTATGGTGTTTACAACCTTCAACATCAGTCCTTCGGTTTTCAGCTTCAAACTCATGATCCTGTCTAACACTCTGTGCACTTCCAGAAAACTCTTAATACAACATTACTGCTACTCTATTACTTTTCCTATCCACAGTACTGTGCAAAAGTCCTGAGCCATTCTTCATTTCTTTATATTTTGCTGGAACAAGAATTACTTGCAGTTTTTTAAAGTGCTGAGCAATAGTCCTCCAGGCTTTCTAAAGGCCGTTTTGGACACTAGCCACTTTTTCAACCATTTTCAGTCCAGTCCTTATACCTGACCATTTTCAGAGGAATGTTTTTTTGTTTTTTTTAGTTGAACCCACTTAATACGGGTCTATGAATCTAACTCAAGGTATTAACACACAATAGCAATTCTGGTCTTGACATTTCTGGTTCCAATCATCATCAGTATGTACTGAAGGAGGCCGTGAGAGAGGTACAGCTGTGAGTGTCCTACAGCCATCTGTAAAACACAGTGGAGGCTCTGTCATGGTTTGGGGACTGCATACCATCTAGAAAGCATCTGATTGGAAACAGCTTTTTCAGCATGACAATGACCCCAAGCACCATGCAATACAAGCATACCTGGATAGAAAAACACACAGTGCAACACTATCAGACCTCAGACCTCAGACCTCAACATTATTGAAGCAGTGTGGGATCATGTTGACAGAGAACAGAACAAAATGCAGAAACATCCAAAGAAGAGCTTTAAATGTCCTTCAAGAAGCCTGGAGAACTTTTCCAGAAGACTACTTAAAGAAATTAGAAGAAAGGTCAGACAGTGTTGTAGAATAAAGGTGGCCATACTTGAAACTGCGGTATTGAATTTCAAGGGAGAAACTCTGCTTTTGCCTTATGTATTGTATTTCCACATATGTTTGCACATCATTCAGTAAGTAGCTGCATTATTTTGCCATATTCATTTAAAAACATAAAGAAATGATTACTGGCTTGAGACTTTTGCACAGTACTGTACACTGTGGTACAATAGTGTGAATGCACCTTGACCTGCGTCTTTCCACTTTCCACTCCATTTGCTTTAGCGATACTTCCAGCTTGTTGTTAGTCTATGCCGTTACGTTCAGTACAGTAAAAGTAGAGTGTTATTTGCAACCAAGGAATCCGGTTATGATTGTTTCTGTGTTTTTATAAACTTGTGGAAGGAAGTAACATTCTGTGACCTCAGCTGGAAACAGCCTTCTCTGTCACTGCTGGGATGAAGACCAGTTAAAGCTACTGATTACAAAGTTTCGGCGGGTGTCTATATGTCTCTCTGTCAAAAAGATTTTAGTGAAGATCAAAATGAAATTTAAAGCTAAGTGTGGTTTCACTAATGCCTGCAAAATAAAGAGCAGTGGAAGTAGCCCTCAAACCTTTTAACGCCCCAGTGCTGCTTTCTCTCTCTCTCTCTTTTTGTGTGCGTGTGCGTGCGTGCATGCATGCGTGAGTGCGTATACATGGCTGTCTGGTAAACATAATATTTTGATGGGTTTGGTCTGAGAACTAATTGGCATGATGGTCCCTGGTTGCCATCTGAAAAAAATCCAAATAGGGTTTTTTTGTAGACGGTTGGCATCAGCCGTACTCACATATCAAATACTGTGTACTGCTTCAGGGCACAGATCAGATTTTGATATCTGTTCTTAAGTTTTAAAGAGGAGCATTTCTTTCTAAAATGACCCTTTTGCACTTAGATTTAACAATAACACATCAGTTTCATGCATGTATTTCTATTTCTATCTCCTTAAACTTATGCTCCGGCGTTTGATAAAGAAACATGACAAAAAAACTGCAGCAAATCACGGTCATAATCAGTTCACGATAATCACTTTTTTTCCTTTGCTCTGTTCATTTATGTACTCCTCTCATTAACCGCTGGTATTTCAGACCAGTTTCCATTTATATTTAATGAGAATCTCTGCACAAGTGATTTGTAGTGGTGAGCAGCACCATCACAAATTCTCTTTGACTGCACAGCATAATCCCTCCACGGTCTTTCACAAGATCCAGCTAAAGGAGCAAATGGGATCCCCACTATCTGAACTATGAACTATATATATATATA